AGGGGGGGAGGGATAAGAAAGCAATAGATCAATGCGTAACAGCTTTCACAATTCAATGTAACATCTGCATTTTAAAACTAGTTTCAGGCTTGAAAGTATTATGAGAATGTCTTGTGCAATCAAAGATTAGCATAAGTGACATTTGGTCATGTGTTTGGGGCGCAGTCATATTATACAGTCGACGCATATAATTAGCTTCCAGATCTAAATGCTCTTGTCGCAAAAACAAACAGTTTTCTCGCAAGTTTTCATTTTTGGACAGCAAACTTCAGTATATATCTCTTACCTGGGACATCCTTGGCCTTGAATGAGGGTCCCGTCGAATGCATAACGAAGCACAATGTAGCATGCCATGAATCTCCTGCTCCAAGTAGCAGTTCTCTAGACATGGGTCGATGAGTACGGAGATGGCACTCTTTCGCAGAAGAGGACGTGCCTGGTCCATTTGGAATATAAGGATAAACTATTAGTCCTCTACACCACGGGTTTATTCAGATTTTGATGTGACCATAAAACACAAAAAAAACTTCAAGAACTCATACCCACTCACTGAGGGATTGTTGGCCCTTGGGGCGATTAATGTCTATAGCTTTTCTTCCGGTAACAAGTTCCAATAGTACTACACCAAATGAGTACACATCAGCCTTTTCAGTTATTTGACCACTTTGAGCATATTCCGGTGCCAAGTACCTGAACAACAAAAAATCATATCAACTAAAAGGCTGAAAGATAGTGTTAGTCGGAGCCAACTGTGTTATGTTTCATATTTAGTTATTTACCCAAATGTTCCTATTACTCTTGTATCAACACCTAAGTCCCCTTCTGGCTGCCACCTTGCGAGTCCAAAGTCTCCAACCTATATCACAAAGAAATAATGAAGAGGGGACTTAAAGTAAAGGATGAAACAAGAGAATAATACAAGCAAGCGCGGACAAGTAGATAGTTCATTGTGTCCAATTTTAGACAAAAGACAGCCTACTACATTTTAAAGACGAATTACAGCAGATATTTATGAGTACTATTTTTCCTTTCCATTATGCTAGAAAACAACTACTACTACTATACCTCAATTCCAAACAAGTTGGGGTCCGCTAAAAAATCCTCACTACCCATGTTCCCATTTCAATTCATCAGGCCAACATTATACAAATAAAAATAAAAAATATTGAAAGTCCTCTATATTTCCTACTGGCATAAGAATCTCTAATAAGGCTAAAAGAATCCTAGATAGCATAGGATCTAAAGTAAACTATTAACATAACTAAAATATATTCTCAACTAATTGGTATCGCCTATATAAAAAAATTATTTCCTTGAACCCTATCTTTCCCTATGTCTGCATTGATTCCAAGAGATTGTAGGTCTTTCATGACAATTTCCTTGTATGTGATCTTAGGTCTACCTTGTTCTCCTTAACACCTTCACTTACCATGGTTTCACACTTACAGGCTAGTGTATCCGGAGGTAGACGCATGACATGACTAAACCATCTCAAGCGATCTTCTCTCATCATATCCTCAAATGTGTGCTACTTGCACTTTTTGACTAATGTCATTTTAATCTTGTCTAATCTTTATATTATATCTTAGCATCCGTATCTCTACGACACTCATCTTGTGGATGTGTTGGACTTTAGATGCCCAACATTCACTATCATATATTATTATTGGTCTTATAACTATTCTGTAGAACTTACTTTTCACTTCAGTAGCCATTCTTTTATCACATACCACCCAGGTAGCCCTTCTCCATTTCAACCATCAGCTTTTGATTCTATGTGTACATCTTCATCTATCGTTCCATTCTCCTGCAACAACGAGCCTTTATATTTGCATTGTTTGCATTTAGGCCCCATAATCCTTTCTAATCTCACTTTATCTTCATTCTTCTCATGCTAACTAAACTTGTAGTGCATATATTTATTCTCACTTCTACTTATCCTAAAACGCTTACTTTCTAGAGTGCTTCTCCATGGAGAAAAAGATTTACAAGATCATCTAAAGCTTGTAACTTTTAAATAAATAAAAGAAGCCCAAAACATGACAAGAGAATCTTGTAAATAGAGAAACATAAAGCGTACAAAAGGAACACACACCAACGGTTCAAAATCATGAGTTAGGAGGATATTATTTGGTCGCAGGTCACGATGAACAATACAACCTACTCTGCACTCCTCGTGCAGGTATCTCAATCCACGAGCAGCTCCGACGGCAATCTTTTGACGTGCTGACCAATTTAATGGATGTCCATTACGTCCTGCAGGTTGGAGAAATTCATTATCAACAAATAAATACGGGTCGCAGAATTTGTGAGAGGTTCCTAAGCTTTGTTGTTCCCTACTTGCTCCACACATGAGCAAAGAATATAGTTCTCATAATAATCGTCCAGAATATAGTGATTTAATTTAGTTTGTGAGAAGCTAAACACTTTTGACAGATTTATGTAGACGGGAGTTACACGTGCAATTGGAACCACACACTAAAAATTATCAAATTTAAGAATCTAAAGGCTTCAATTTCTACTAAATTAAAGCATTTGAATGCCACACATCAAGAAAGACATGGGGCGTAAAGAGGATTAAGATATAAAGACAGAGGAGTGGAGAGGTTGGTACCATAAAGGTGAGAATCTAAAGAGCCATTGCATATGTATTCATAAACTAGCAATCTTCTTCCATCCTCCACACAGAAGCCGATCAGCATCACCACATTTCGATGCTGAGCACAGCTCAGGACCTCCACCTCAGAGCAAAATTCAAGGTCGCCCTGCGAACTAGCCGATTTATGTTGCTTGACTGCTATGACTTGTCCATCTGGTAAGTGTCCACGATGTACAGAACCATATCCACCCTCAGCCAAAAAGTTAGCTTGTGAAAATCCACCAGTAGCACGTTCGAGCTCAGAATAAGTGAACCACCTAGGTGGTTTTCCAAATACAGGTGCCTGGTGTTGACATATTGAACAAAGTGGAGGAGGATCAGCAGGAGAATTTTTGGTTAATGACATCATTTTTCTCATATTACTGTTTACTTCCAGATGATGTCTTTCTTTCTTTAGACAAACTCCAGGGTCCTGATCACGTCCAAATGATTTCTCCGGGGTAACATCATGCTTCAACTTTAGCAATGTGCCTCTGGATCTCGGTGAGTCTTTCTTTAAGTAACTTGAATACTCCTTCGCTGCAATGAGAATGTCTTGCATCCATTGGCGGGAACATATGCTTGTTGTAGGAGAAGTCAGATTTTCACTATCTGTGTCAGAATCAGATTCATCTGAATAATGATTGCATTTATGCGAAAAGCTCTTCTTCATATCCCAATTGATCTCAGAGAAGAAAAGCGGAGAGGCCCCTATGTCCACACTGGAAATTGAGGATGTCCCAGCATCAGTTGTGGTGAATGATGAATGCTCTGGACTACTTGCTGGAGTCACGTTTGGCACCCGAATCTCATTCCAGGGATCATCAGACTTTTCACCTAATTGTTTTGTAGAAGCTTGTGACCTACGGGAGACTTCAGTGTCAGTGTTAGGCGATCCGATGAAATTCAACCTAAGCACTTTTGGTTGAGAGTTTTTCATCTGAACAATATTGCATTCCAGTAGTTGCTCCATACAGATTCTGGTCTCTTTTTTCATTCTCCTGGACATGAGTCATCAAGGAAATATGCATTTAGCACAAACCAGATTCAAATCAAAATACCAAGCACCAAGAGCAACTAAATACCTACATTCTAATCAGATGTAAGACAAAAAGTTCTTAAACATGCAAACATGAAATAAGATTTACACTGTATTACTTATCCAACACCACCCATCGTGTCTGAACTCTCCTCGCTTCAGCAGCCACTACTCCTGACTGTGACCCACAAATGACTTTGACCTTCACCTTTATCTGTAAAATAGAACTGAATGATGTGGGAATCCCATATGTGTTCCTTGAGGGAACAATGATATCAGAATTAGATGGATCACTTACTTTATCTGGATCATAAATATCATGAAGTTGAAGCAACATTTGAGTGCATGATTCTCTAATGAAGTCCTTCTGATCTAAAGTTGTTCCAGACAATGATCTCCAGTTGCTATTCGTGCAATCACTGTTAAATCTAGGAAAACCCCAAAGCCTTTTACCTGAAAGTGTAGTTCAAGTCACTTTAACATATTGCTCTATAGCAAATGAAAGGACAAATGACAAAGAGTGAAGAAACTAGAAACACACGTGGAGCTAGCCTAATTCTTGCGCGGATCAAGTTAAACAGGACAATGACATGAACCAAGGCTTGAGCTAGCAATGGCTCTATAAATTCTGGAAGAATATGCCTATTCCTCTAAATTGCATAATCAAAGGCAACTTCTTCTGCAATAATTGATTTTGGCCAAACCACCCAATAAAAATGAAACATAAAACGAGGGACATGGCCCTAGATTGGAGGGTGTGGAGGTGGAGGATTAGGGTAGAAGGCTAGTAGGTAGTCGAGCGTATCTCTTTGTCTTACCCAGTTCGCTAGCATTAGCGTTAGTATGATATCCTTTTATTCATAGATTGCTATTACTACCTAGAGTTTAACTACTTTCTTGGCTTCGATCTTTTTTATCTTGTTGTTATTCCTACTTGTTGTCATTACTTTTTTCATTCGTTCTCCGGCCGAGGGTCTATCGGAAACAAACTCTCTGTCCTTCTAAGGGTAGGGGTAAGACTGCGTACATCTTACCCAAACCCCACTTGTGGGAAATTACTTGGCTTGTTGTTGTTGTTGTTGTTATATCAAAATTGAAGTTTGATGTCTGGCATAAACTAAGAACTAAATTCATAAATGCATTTCTAATACAACTAGTAGCATGTAAATGTTTGTTAGGGCAGTAGATAAAGTTTACTTGAGCTATGAGGAGGAATGAGCACAAGCAGCTTAACAGAATCCCCAGGTTGAACCACATGAGTTAATGCCCAGATAAAGGCACTTCTTGATATATCTCTTGAAGCTTTCACAGCAACAAGCACCACTCTCTTTCCCACATCCAAGCTTCTATTAGTCCCACTCTTCTCTCGCAGATTCATCTCAACAAAAATGTTCAATTCTTGATTATTCCTCAGAAACCCATTTCAGCAAATATCTTTGCCCAAAACAACAAAAAGATTCCTCCTTTAGACTGCCACTTGCTAAGTTTATAAAACAGAATAGAAGTTGATATCCAGTAAGTGAAGACGCCAAAGTCCAAGATCAAGAATTGGACTGTAACTGAACAGAAAGCGAGATGTCATGATTTTCTGGGGTTAAGTAAAAAGGTAAAGAAGAAAAGGCCAAAAATGTCAGCAAAGCTGACTGCAATTGCAGGCGTGATTTATCGCATCATTTTTCAACAGGAATTAAATTATTGAGATAATCAAATACGTATAAACAAGAGAGAGGTGCCGAACAAAGAATTGAAAAAAAGAGCATCAAAGGAATGGAAGACAAAGACAGTGAAAGGTAAACAAACGTTGAATTAACACTCCGTTTTCCAGCGACCCCACAAAGACAGCAGCAGAGATGAAAAAGTCTATATACTCTTTACTAATGCAATCAACGATGGCTACACTCCAAGAATATTACGTAACAGCAGCAGCTTCATTTTCTTTTTCTTTTTCTTTTTACAAACTTTTAAGATAAAAGAAGGCGCTCGCCGCTCGTAGCTAATATCGTTAGCTTCAGCTCTACAACTTCAGTATAGACCGTAAGGTGGTATGATTTGTAAATTGTAATAAACAAGTTATACTATTATTATAATTTAAAAATTAAATAATAATAATAAATTTATTTTATCGATTATACTTTTGATCCATTTATATTATCGCCCTTAGCAAATCGCCTCGTATTGTCATTAACCGACAAGAGGAAATTTATACTCAATATTGAATAATACAAAGACAAATATAACCTTTTCCTCAACATTAAATATGGGGCAATCATACCTCAACAGTATTAAATAATCTCTTGCTGGTTTTCTATGATTTTTAGCTACCTTTTTCATCTATCAAAAACTAGTGAAGATAAAAATACAAAAGGAAGGATTAAACAAGAGAAGCTTTAATCATCTTATCATGGTTGCCAACTAAATGATCATTTAAGCTACAGCTAACTCCTAAACAAAAAAGTATCCTGGTTTGACCAAAAGGAGGATAGAAAAGGTAGTCCAGTCCTTCTCATTTATTAATCTGCTTAACAACCTGTCAAAGGAAATTATTGAATGATTACTTATACCCGTACATCCTAAATTTGTCTTTTACCTTTCATCCTAAATGGTCGTTTAGTCGTTTGCTTTTGCCATCCATCCAAATCGATCAAAGTAGTATGACCATTTAGGCGTTTGCTTTTGCCATCCATCCAAATCGATCAAAGTAGTATCAATGGGAGGTCAGTAAAGAGACTATTTTAAATAGATTCTCGATTCACGAAAGAAGAGAAAAAAAAGTAATAGTACCAAACAATAATACCAAAAAAATCTAACAATAATAGAATACGAGACTAATACTAATACTCTCGACTACCTACTAATAGTGTACCTTCATTCTCGACTTCCACTCCTTATTTTTTTCAAAGGTATGGCTTTATTATCCTGTGTTTTATAGTCATTCATATTTTTTCTCTTAAATAAAAGAAGACAAAATGTGCATTACCCAAAAAACATTAACAGGAGAGAATGACGTTACTTGTGCAAAAGCCAAATGATCCGTAACAGTTAAGAAGTGGAAAAGCAATGCGTGAAAACCATGGCTAACTTTTTCTTTTCTTTCCTTTTTCTATGAAAGTTATCGCAACTTTAGTAAAGCTATGAATGGCGGAGTAACTTTTTGGGAATTATTTAGCCTTTATGTCATTCATCCATAAAGGAGAAAAGGTGTGTTTACATTTATACGACTTTATTAATAATTTTTGAGCATCTCAGATCAATTCATACTTATCAGTTAGTTGCTGTGGATCCTCTATATATAATAATGAATCCCCAAACTTTGCTAAAATCTCTAGTGTTCATAAACTAAAGTCAAATGCCAGCGAATATATTCCTCTCTATAATCTTCTAAGAAAGACACCGTATAATGAAAAGAACTCACCGATTTTAATATTTTCTTTCCTTATTTTTAGTTATTTCCTTTCTTGATTGGAATAGGAATATAATAGTTATAAGTATTCTTAAATTTGTGAGGTAAACTTGAGTTATTGATGAATGGATAATAACGGCACTTTTAAATAAAGCTGGAGGCAACGGTCCTATGTATAACTCATTGAGTGAAGGAGCAAAGGCTAGCTCCATGGGAGCTACTCACAGATCCGTCACCGTTCGCCTAAATAGAGAAGACTGTAAGCGCACAAAACACGATTCGGCTTTCTCCGATTGGAAGGTTCGATCAAAAATTCTCCACTTTTCGTTCCCATTTGTTTTTAGTTGTTTTGAAGAGTGCGCGTTTTCGTTACCTAAAGGTCAGCTTTTGTTGCTTAGATTCAGATCTAGAGCTGTCTCTAGTTGTTTGGATTGGAGTAGTGCTACAGTTTTTGCTGATTAGGTAAATCATGATTTTAAAAAGGAAAGAAAAATATACTAATATAGTAGAGCTGTAGTAATGGCTAAACAACTTGTGACTAGAAAGTAGAGAAATTTTTATGAAGAATAGCCCATTCTTCAACTTCATCACAGAATTTGATGTTAAGAATGACAACAAATTGGCCAGATAAGTCATCTTCTTTAAGCATATTTGCAAAGAATAGCCCAACACAGAAGATAAATAAATAAATTTGGGTTTTCTCGAATGTACAAAAAATATTTATGTGATAAAGCTCAAATCTTTTCTCCAGAATGGGAAGAAAATGAATTGTAGGAAGTTCTTTTAGCAACTTAACTCTAGTTTTTCTGATTGGCTCATTCTTATTCATTGTGAGTGTTTATTGCCAGATTCTAATTGGGCCTAATGATTGGACGAATTATTTACTGGGGAAGGAAGGAGCAGAGAAATATAGGACTCAGAACCTGCCAAACTGCACCTCGTGCTCTGGAGTTTATGAGCTTGGAATAGCTGTGTCACGACACCAAGCTGGGCGAGAGGCTAGCAGACTTGACCCTGATTATATTGTTCCTGTATATGTTGGAAAATCTGACATTGTTAGGACTAGGCTACAGCGGTATGGCCGTGAAGGCGCTCATTTAGAGAATATCTGCTCCAATAGTGCACTGCACGACCAAGAAAATGTATCTGCTTCAAAGAGAGCAGGATTGTTTACAGAAGCATTCTCAAGAGGCTTCTCTATCGTTTATAGGTGGGCACCTGTAAGTACATATTTCTCTTATCTACAACTTTAAGCCTCTTGCAGATGTTGTTAATTTGTAGTTTCCTCCTTAAGATATCGAAACGCATAAGGTTGTTGCTCGCTCATTCATGCAAATAGCGAGTAAAGCTAGATATTTTAACATTCAGATTAAAGTTCTCCTAGTTTTACTCTGTAATCTTTTGGGAAATTATTATTATGAGGTTATCTTACTAGGCTCTAGACGACAACACTAATAGACCAAGTTGAGTTTTTGCTTTCAGCATTTCACTTTTGTTCATTCTTTGAAAAATCATTGTGAGCTGTCTGCTAGCCATTTGTTTGCATAGTTAAGCATGTTAAAGATTGAAAGTAATTACACACTCTATTGACTTGTACCAAAAACTACCTCAGTTACTAATGGATTTTGGTAATGTTTCCTAATATTTAACAGATGAATGACAACAAAGATGCTGAGAAAACTGAATCCCAGCTGCTCGACAGATTTGACTATGCTTGGAATAAAGGCAGTAATGGCGTACGTCGACACAATGATGTCCTCCACAAACTTGATCGCATTTCAAGAGCAACTCGTCTTCCTGCTTTTGTCAGGAAGCTTCAATTGTCCCTTGAGAAACAAAAAGGTGTCAAAATCAAAGCTTGCAAGCCCCTTTTGTTGGAGAACGGATCTGAGTTTCATGATAGCTTCAAAGGCACTTATTTCCTTCCCCAAATCTTCAAATTTGGTCGATCAAACCCAAGAATAATTTCACTAAGTTCCGGTGTAAATGGTGATCCAAATACTATCTGTGGTGTGGCTTTGGGTCATGGATCTGTTTGTATAAGGCCTCCAATTATGGGAAATAAAAGATGTGCTGAGCACAAGGGAATGAAGGTAAATGGTGTAAATTCAAAGTTGATTGCAGAATGTTTGGAGCACAAGGGAAGGAGTCGAGGCTTAATTTCTCAGCCAGTGACAGACAAAAGTTGCCACTGGACCCACAATCCTATACTTGAAAACAGGACTTATTCCACTGATGATGGCCAGCAGATGTTATCCCGTACAGCTGATACACAACACCCTCAAGATTTCTCTAGCTGTCCTCTTATCGGCAAGAACCACAAGGTCATGTGTGGAGTTCACTTAAATGATGGTAGTTTTTGCACCAGGCAACCTGCAGTAGGAAGAAAGCGGTGTGAAGAACATAAGGGTATGAGGGTTAAAGAGCCCATTTCTAAGCAATTAGGAGTAGAAATACCGAGTGTATTTGCAGGTCCAGCTACCAAAATTAGCAGTGAGAAAATGCATTGGAATATAGACATTCCATCAGTCAACCATTCTCCGGCTTGTGGAGCAACATTGTGTAATGGTTCCTTTTGCAGAAGGAAACCTTCGGAAGGTAATAAAAGATGTTGGCAGCACAAAGGTATGAGGGTTAAAGAGCCCATTTCTAAGCAATTAGAAGCAGAAATACCAAGTGTATTTGCAGGTCCAGCTACCAAAATTAGCAGTGAGAAAATGCATTGGAATATAGACATTCCATCAGTCAACCATTCTCCAGCTTGTGGAGCAACATTGCGTAATGGTTCCTTTTGCAGAAGGAAACCTTCGAAAGGTAATAAAAGATGTTGGCAGCACAAAGGCATGAAGAGTTGAAATAGGACCTCCACGACCTGCATAATGTAGTTTCATAAGAGAATTATTAATCAAGTTGTGGTGCACCCTTACGCAGTGGTGTTGGGATTATCCTTTTATTTAAGAATTATTTATTTACTGTATGTTTGGTCTTTTATTTAGTTGAATTGGTCAGCTCCTAGTTATTAGGAAGTGGACGAGTGGTTTTAGTTGACATAGTGGAGTCTGTTAGGAGTCCTAGTTAATGTTTGTTTAGTCGTGGGTTTGTGGGTTTCATGCGCAGTCATGAAGGCTCTGTAAAGGCCTACATAATGGCTTCTTCTGTTGCAAATAAAGGTGTGAGTTTGCAGTATTAAAGATCCCATCTTGTCCATTTTCTTATCTGCTCTATTCTATCGGTGGTATTCAGAGCAAGGTTAGATCCCGAAAAAAACTATGAGAAAGAGAGTTTACCCAAAAACAATTCTCTATATGGCTTCAGAGAACAATTTTGTGCAGGCAGTTATTCCCCGTTTTGATGGCCATTATGACCATTGGAGTATGCTGATGGAGAATTTCTTATGGTCAAAAGAGTATTGGCTAATTGTTGAAGACGGCATTAAAGCGCTAGTAATAGGCGAAACTTTGACGGATGCTCAAAAGACTGAGTTCGAAGCAAGAAAGCTGAAAGATTTAAAGGCAAAAAATTATCTCTTTCAGGCTATTGAGCGTCCCATCTTGGAAACCATTCTTTGCAAAGAAACTTCCAAAGATATATGGGATTCCATGAAAAAAAAGTATCAAGGCTCTACAAGAGTAAAGCGAGCACAACTTCAAGCCTTGAGGAGGAACTTCGAAACCTTGCAGATGAAGGAAGGAGAATCTGTCACCAACTACTGTGCTAGAACCATGGAGATATGCAACAAGATGCGATTCCATGGTGAGAACATGGGCGGCGTCATAATAGTGGAAAAGATATTGCACTCTCTGACGCCAAAGTATGATTATGTCGTTTGCTCCATTGAGGAGTCAAAAGACATAGATGCATTATCACTTGACGAATTGCAGAGCTCCTTATTGGTGCATGAGCAGAAAATGAACTGTAGTTCAAATTCTGATGAACAAGCTTTGAAGGCTTCTACTTTTATTTCTTCTTCCAGTTCTAGAGGAATGGGTAGAGATAGAGGTCGAGGCAGAGGAAGAGGAGATCGTGGAGGTAGAGATTCCAGCAGGAATTTCAAAGCAAATAATGACCAATCTCAAGGCAAAGGCAGAGGTCGAGATAATGATAAATCCAAGGTAGAATGCTATAAATGTCATAAATGTTATACTAGGCTACATAATGACAAAGAAAAGGAAGAGAAATCCAATTACGCGGAGAACAAGGGGAGACCTTGTTGATGGCAATTCAAGTAGAGAAGGAACTCGAGCAAGATGTTTGAAATTTTGACACAGGCTGCACTAATCACATGATTGGAAGTAAGTCTTGCTTTTAAATGAAGGTATCCGTTCTAAAGTTAGTTTGGTGATTGTTCTATTGTGCATGCAACGGGAAAATGTGACATCAAGATTAAAACCAAGAATGGTTTTGTGAAAACAATCTCTAATGTGTTATATGTTCCTGACTTGAAAAGCAACTTACTGAGTGTTGGTCAGTTGCAAGAGATAAGTTATGTCATTACTATTAAGAAGGGTGAGTGTGAAATTTATGACCCTGTGGGAGGAGCTATTGCAATAATTCAAATGAGTTCAAATAGATTATTTCCCATAAAGATTGATAGTATTCAATCTTGTTTGATGACGGAAGTGAAGGATTCCTCATGGATGTGGCATTTTCGTTATGGTCATTTGAGTTTTGAAGGATTAAAGGCACTTCAGCAGAAGAACATGGTCACGGGTCTTCCTCAAATTACTGCTCATTCTCAAATTTATGAAGAATGTGTTGTTGGCAAACAACACCGATCTCAGTTCCCGAAAGGCAAATCATGACGAGCAAATCATGTTTTGGAGTTGGTTCACTCTGACATTTATGGGCCATTAAGACCAATCTCTAATGGAGGCAAAGGGTATTTTATTACCTTTAGACGATTATTCCCGAAAGACCTGGACATACTTTTTGCAAGAAAAATCAGAAGCTTTTAATGTATTTAGAAGCTTCAAAGCTCATGTGGAGAATGAGACACGAAGGACAATTAAGAGCCTCCGAACTAATCGTGGAGGGCTCTAAGGCATTTGAAGAATTTTGTGGGACTCATGGGCATTCGAAAAGAGCTCACAACGGCATATACACCGCAACAAAATGGTGTATCGTAAAGGAAGAATAAAACCATTCTCAGCATGGTTCGAAGCTTGCTGGCTCGAGGACGATTTCAAAGGCGTTTTGGCCAGAAGCAGTAAATTGGAGCACTCATGTTTTGAATAGAAGTCCAACATTTGCTATTAAAAATCTGACTCCAGAGGAAGCTTGGACTAGAAGGAAACCGGTTGTAGACCATTTTAGAATTTTCGGTTGCATTGCTTATGCACATGCCCTTGATGCAAAAAGAAAAAAGCTTGATGATAGAGGCGAAAAATGTATTTTTCTTGGTGTTAGCGAAGCATCCAAGGCATAGAAGTTGTTCAATCCTTTGACAAAGAAGGTTGTGAGCAGCAGAGATATTATTTTTGATGAAGAAAACACTTGGGATTGGAATATGCAGCAGTTTACTCCAATCTTCATTGATACTGAGGTCGAAGAAGCAACTACAATACCCCAAAATTCTGAAAGTTCTACTCCAACAGCTGCTGAAATTTTACCATCAGCTTTGGAAGAAACTGTCGTAAAAGGCCTGCTTGGATGATGGATTATGAGGTAACCGGTATTAATATCGATGAGGAGACAATTGCTCATTTTGCATTGTTTGCAGATTGTGACCCAATAACTTTTGAAAGTGCTATTCAAGAAGCAAAATGGAAGGAGGCAATGGATGTTGAGATTTCAGCAATTGAAAAAAATGATACTTGGGAGCTTACTGATCTTCCAAAAGGGTAAAATCAATTGGAGTCAAATGGGTTTATAAAATCAAACTCAACGAGAATGGTGAAGTTGAAAAGTACAAGGCGCGCTTGGTGGCTAAAGGATATAAGCAAGAGTATGATATGCACTACAAGGAGTTATTTGCTCCAGTAGTTAGACTTGATGCCATTAGGTTAGTGGTAGCATTGTCATCCCAAAATAATTGGCTGATTTATTAACTAGACGTGAAATCAGCCTTCTTGCATGGAGAATTGCAAGAGCAGGTATATATAGATCAACCTTCTGGTTATGTAAAGCATGGCTGTGAACATAAGGTTTATAGATTGAAAAAAGCATTATATATGCTAAAACAAGCTCCACGAGCTTGGTATAGTCGCATTGATGCTTATTTCAGTATGGTAGGTTTCAAAAAATGCTCATATGAGCATACGCTTTGTACAAAAATTGAAGATGGAAAGCTTTTCATGTATGCTTATATGTAGATGACTTGATCTATACTGGAAATGATCATGCGTTGCTTAAAAATCTAAGCAATCAATGATGACTGAATTTGATATGTCGGATCTTGGGTTGATGCATTATTTTCTAGGTATTGAAGTGAAGCAATCTTCTACTGAAATTTTTATCTCACAACGGAAATGTCCAGAAAATTTTGATGAGGTTTGAAATGCCAAAGTGCAATTCTGTCACCACACCAGCAGAGATGGGGCTGAAGTTGGAGAAAGATCCCATAGGAAAGAAAATTGACAGCACCTTCTACAAGCAAATTGTGGGGAGTTTGATGTATTTAACATCCACTAGGCCTGATATAATGTACTTTGTAAGTCTTATAAGAAGATACATGGAAAATCCTAAAGAGATTCACTTGTTGGCTGCTAAAAGAATTCTCAGGTATTTGCAAGGAACTATTGATTTGGCATTCTGTACAAGAAAGAAGGAAAGTCAGATTTAATCAGCTTTACAAATAGTGATTTTGCTGGAGATAAAGATGATAGAAAAAGCACATCCGGTTATGTCTTTATGTTTGGATCAGGTGCTATTTCATGGTGTTCCAAGAAGCAACCAATTGTTACTTTGTCAACCACAGAAGCAGTGTTTGTGGCAGCAACTGTGTGCTACTTAAGCAATTTGGTTAAAGAACATTCTTGTTGAACTTCATCTTCTTCCGCATAAACCAACTCCAATTTATTGTGACAATGGTTCAGCGATTAAGCTTTCTAAAAATCCAGTTTTACACGGGAGGAGCAAACACATTGATGTGAAATTTCACTTCCTGAGAGATCTCTCGAAGGAGAAGATCGTTGATGTTGTCTACTGCAAAAGTGATTGGCAACTTAAACGCATATGCTCATATTTTTTTACCTTCTGCAACATATTGGGTGGTACCATAATCTATGAGAAAATCAAATCGTCAATTTGTCATTCAATTTAGATTTTAGGAGTAACTCCACATGTGTTGTTATTAGGGTTAAAGCTTAGTTGTTGTAATTTTGATTTTGGTACTAATCTTCTGACGAACAAGTGTGAGTAATTTACAAAGGTAGTTTTCTATGTGGCATTGCTGTTCTGAAGAGGAGTTGGTCCCACGGTACAGGTTGTACAGCTTAATGTCACGTCTTTAGTCGTTAACTAAGTACACGTGCGACACTTGATAATTTTCTCACAATCCTGCACAATTTTCTCACGTTCTTGCTATGTATTACAGAGAGACTAGAAAAAACACAAGAGAATTGTTAAAGGAAGCTTCGTATTAGAGAGAACTTGAATTGTTTGCTTGGTGAAATACAAATGAATGGCCCCTTTTATATACTAGTCTCCTAGGGGCTAGTTTGTAAATATTAATTGTTACACAAGTCCTTAATATTTACAAGATAAGGGCTTTCTCTAGAAGGCTCTTCAAGCCTAGAAGATTTCAAGGACTTTCCTAGTAAATCCATAGAGATCTAGGGTCTTCCAAAGGAAATGTCCATACTTCTCTAGAATCTTCTCACAAATGCTATCCTTCTTTCTATGTAAGCTTCCACATGGCATTAATATATGCCAAATGGTGGCATGATGACATAGAGGGTCATAACACTCTCCCTAACCTAATGTTGCGACGAAACTCTCGGATCTTATCTTTGAATTGCCATAAGTCTTCATATCATTCCCACATGGCCTCCTCCGGAGATTGCCCCTTCCAATGGACGAGGAACATTGCGGTGGCTTTCTGCCCTTATTTTCGCCTAGCCTAGTAATCAATCATAGCCTCAATCTCCCGGTCATGTGAGACGGTGATAGTAATAAGCGCTCAACTTGATTGGCTCCCACTCAGATCACCCTTGTCTTCATGATATGGTTTAAGCATGCTGGCATGGAAAACAAGATATATCTTAAGA